GGGGAGGGGCTGCAGGCAGTTGGCCATCTGGCTCTGCCCCCTGGTCCAACTCCCAGTTGAACTCCCTCCCAGTTGAGGGGACAATTTACATATTAGCCTTTTATTATATAGGGTAGGTATATTATTTATAAGAGTGCAAAATAGTAAAAAATTTAAGTTACTCTATTTTAAAGGACTTCTCTGTAGTGGTATTTTTTTTGCAATGCTCTATGCCCCAGGTGTGGTCATTTTGCAAGCATACTATATATAGTCTTGGCCATAGAGATGTTTGGCTTTAAAAAGGAGGGACACATCCCCCAGATGCAAGAACTCAGCATGTGAGGATACCCCATAGGAACAAGATGAAGAGGTTTGGGAAAGTGACAAAGGTAGAAGGAGGTATATTGAAGTAAGAATATTTCCTGCTCATTCCACTTGAAAGTTACAGCAGTCAAGGATGCCCCTTTAACCAGGGAAAGGTGAGGAGAGACTAGAAAGAGAGACATAAAGTAAGGAATATGGGAGAAGGAATTTTGTTTCTAAGTCTTTCTGGATTACTGTTGATTCTTCAGTATTTAGTACATTGCCTGGTATATAGGTTGTATGGTTGGTAAAAGAATACTAAGGGCTTAATATATAGTAATAATATTAAAAGGAGTGCTTTCACATTTTAAGGAAGAAATGTATGAATTATTTTGGTTTTAATTTCTTGGAATATGTATACACCTGGGGAATATAGTGAGTAGGCATTAAATAATTGATAACATGGTGCTACTTCCTGGGAGTTTAGTTTTACTTGAAATTGTTGATGAATTGTTTAATGATCAAGGAGCTTTGTACAGAGAGGAATGCTCACTGCCCTTTATACTTTTACTAGGGGCCTGGTGCACAAAAATTTGTGCACTCGGGGGGGAAGGGGGGGTCCCTCAGCCCGGCCTGTGCCCTCTCGCAGTCTGGGACCCCTCGGGAGATAACGACCTGCTGGCTTAGGCCTGCTCCCGGGTGGCAGAGGGCAGGCCCAATCCCTAAGTGCAGCCCCTGGTCAGGCTCAGAGCAGGGCCGATTGGGGAGTTGGGGCGCCGCCCCGTCATGCACAGAGCAGGGCGGATCGGGAGGTTGCAATGCCACCCTCAGTCACGCTCAGGGTAGGGCCGACTGGGGGGTTGGGGCACTGCCCCCTGTCACACTCAAGGCAGGGTCGATGGGGAGGTTGCAGCGCCACCCCCTGTCACGCACAGAGCAGGGCCGATCAGGGGGTTGGGGCGCTGCCCCCTGTCACTCACAGAGCAGGGCCCATCAGGGGGGTTGGGGCGCCACCACTGTCACACTCGGGGCAGGGCTGATGGAGAGGTTATGGCTCTACCCTGTCACACACAGAGCAGGGCCGATCAAGGGGTTGGGGCGCTGCCCCCTGTCACTCACAGAGCAGGGCCCATCAGGGGGGTTGGGGCGCCACCACTGTCACACTCGGGGCAGGGCTGATGGAGAGGTTATGGCTCTACCCTGTCACACACAGAGCAGGGCCGATCAGGGGGAGTTGGTGTGCTGCACCCTGTCAAACACAGAGCCGCAGGGCAATCAGGAGATTGGGGAGCTCCCCCCTATCAGGCACAGAGCAGGGCTGATCAGGGGGTTGGGGCGCCTTCCCCTGTCACGAACAGAGCAGGGCGGATAGGGAGGTTGTGGCCCCGCCCCCTGTCACACACAGAGCCACAGGGCGATCAGGGGGTTTGGGCGCTGCCCCCTGTCACGCTGATCCCGGTGCTGGGAGGCATATTACCCTTTTACTATATAGGATAGAGGCCTGGGGGCCGGCTGGTTTGCCCTGAAGGGTGTCCTGGATCAGGGTGGGGGTCCCCACTGGGGTGCCTGGCCAGCCTGGATGAGGGGATGATGGCTGTTTGCAGCTGGTCACACACCCTTCAGGGTGGGGGTCCCCACTGGGGTGCCTGGCCAGTCTGGATGAGGGGATGATGGCTGTTTGCAGCTGGTCACACACCCTTCAGGGTGGGGGTCCCCACTGGGGTGCCTGGCCAGTCTGGATGAGGGGATGATGGCTGTTTGCAGCTGGTCACACACCCTTCAGGGTGGGGGTCCCCACTGGGGTGCCTGGCCAGTCTGGATGAGGGGATGATGGCTGTTTGCAGCTGGTCACACACCCTTCAGGGTGGGGGTCCCCACTGGGGTGCCTGGCCAGTCTGGATGAGGGGATGATGGCTGTTTGCAGCTGGTCACACACCCTTCAGGGTGGGGGTCCCCACTGGGGTGCCTGGCCAGTCTGGATGAGGGGATGATGGCTGTTTGCAGCTGGTCACACACCCTTCAGGGTGGGGGTCCCCACTGGGGTGCCTGGCCAGTCTGGGTGAGGGGCTGAGGGCTGCTTTCAGGCTGGCGGTTGTTGACTGAAGCTCCCAACCGCTCCTTTTTTTTCTCTTTTTTTATTTTATTCTGGGCCAGCTTTAGCTCTGGCTCTAGCTCTGAGGCTTCGTATCTGGTTTGTTTGCCATTCTATAATCGAAACAATGTATAACTTCAGCTCTGAGATCCCGGCAGGCTGAAAGCTGGTTTCTAGGGTTTTGTTTAGCTTCTTATTTGCAACATAGTACATAGTTGCTTAGAGTTGCAACGCAGAGGCCGGCAAGTGGAGTCTGCAGTCACTGGAGAAAGCGAGCCTCCCTGCTCGCTTCCAGCTGCCTGGCTGCCGGCCGCCATCTTGGCTGACAGTTAATTTGCATAAGGATATGCTGATTAGCCAATCGGAAGGGTAGCGGTTGTACGCCAATTACCATGTTTCTCTTTTATTAGTGTAGACTAG